TTGGAGAGCTGTTATTGTTCAATAAGATACACCTCACCTGGAAATGCCATAGCAGCTATCCCTGTCCCTGGGTGTGTTTATCTGTACTATGTGGAAAAACAAGCAAAAAGAGACCTTTTAAACATTTGCTTTCAATGAAAAGGAAAATAGTCTATCATTTTATTTAAGAATAAATGAAGTAAAAAAAAAATTACAACCCCATAGAGGTGTTTTGCATTCTAAATTATATGAAAGAAGCCAAAAGCTAACATTTTCACCCATTTGTCCAGCACTGAGTGGAGTAATCAGCTAAGCGCCACTTCAGGAACCTGCCCAGCAGGTGGTCACACAAAACTAATCATGTAACCACAGCAGGCTGTGTACATCTCGCCCCAACTTTGACCATCTTGAATAAGATCAGAAGAAAGTAATTATAGGATTCACTTTAATGTCAAGCAACAAACAGAACTATCCACACTTGGAAAATGGACCTTCAAGACATTCATTTTTATTTTTAAAAAAAGCTTAAGAAAGGGCACAAATAATTTTGTTCATTTTTATGAGACTGAACTTCAAGGACAGACATTTTTTTGGAAGTAAAAGTGGTCCGGCAGCATTCCCTGGTGCCTGACCCATAGCATCGCAAAAGTGCCAAGCGTGTTGGCACACACTGGGAGAGCCTTGTTTCTAGTTCCCCAAGAAACCAACAGAGTCCCCACTTCCACTCCTTCTCTTTAGGGTAAAAATGCAATGATTTTGGAATAAAAAAAAAAAAAATTTCTGAATTATCAACTTGGCCCATTCAAGGTATTAGTTTTCCAGAGGAAATATAATTCCTAACACTTGCTACAATGATAAAGGAGTCTGTTGTTTCAGCTGAAATGGATTCCGTAAAAGTTTGATGTTTCTGACTTGGCTAATGGAGTGAGAGGGCATAGGTTCTGTCTGCGGGTAACGTAAATCAGTGCCGCCACCATCAATCAGCAGGTGTCAGAGCTGGCCACTGCCATCCCCGAAGGCTGCTTGGCGGATGCTGGGAATAAATGATTTCCCCTCTTTATTTGCTATGCCGAGGAATGATAATGCAGCACATTCCGTGACCATTTGTCATGGAAGCACAGTCCCCTCCGTGGGGAATGTGTGGGAGTAGCCAGGACCTAGTGTTTTCAATTAATCAGGGCCAGGATTACTCACGCAGGAAATGAAAGAGAAAATTTAATACTTGAAACTAGGGTGAAAGCAGTAACCAAGTCTAATTCAAATACACTTTCTGCTTCTAATTTACATGCAGGATCATTTTATGAGTCACCTTTATTCTTGTGGTGTTGTTTCTCTAGCCCCTGGGAACTGCCCTAGGCAAAAACACCCAGGAGTTTACAGCTGTGCGGGCAATTTCTTTTTCTTTTTTTTTCCTTTTTCCTCTTTTTTTTGAGACAGAGTCTCACTCTTTTGAGTTGATTTTTTTCCAATATCCTGACGTTGCAAGACTGGTCAAAGCAGATGGGTTTTGTGGCAAGTCTGAGTGGCTGGTGGCCATGTTCTTCTTCCTGGGTTTTAGCGTGACCTTGACTTCTTCCTCCTTGCTCTAGACTGTACCCAGTGTCCATGCACATCGACCACGGTTCCATATTATCAATTGCAGCACCTAGAATTCTGCCGTTGTCTTCAAGGTGCAAGCCGACAAAGCCCTTTGGCTGGCTCACAGCTCTGTGGGTAATTAATCGGTGATTTGTAGCAGGCTCGTGCCTGGAATGCATTGTTTCATTTTCTTTTCTGGTGGGGGCTGAAGCAGCCCGGGGGGGGACTGCAGCACTGTCATGCCACAGCAGAGGTTCCTACCAAGAGGCAAACTAATAGACACTAGGTAGTCCTGAGCAAACTAAGCATAGACAGGATTTGTTGTGGCTAATTAGCTTTATTACTTCATAAAAGCCTAGGTCCCTAGTTTCCAGAGAAATAATTACAATTGCAAATGAAGTGGCACCATTGAAGAAGAAGGTCTTCAGCACAAAAGTAACCACAGACCCCCGCAGCATCTCCCTTGCAGTTTGAGCCATGCCAGGGATCTGCTCTTGGGGCTTGGCACCCCTGTTGTCTCCCTAGGTGTGGATGACACACACACACACATCTATTAGCATCTGTCTCTCTGTTAGTTCACAGATCTTTACATGAACCTGCACCCAATAACATGGCATATCCCGGCAGATTCACAAAAGTCCCACAACACCATGAGTACCCATGAATCAGTGCAAACGGAAGACCTCAGCTTTGAGGACAAAGGAATTTCAGTCAGTCACAAACTAAGGCTGGGGGCAGGGTCATTTCCAGTGCGACCGATGAAGGTCCTGTCCTTCCCAAACCTTCAGAATATGAAGGGGTGAAGAAAGACAAACAAGAAAGAAACAAGAGGCTCTCTTTGAGTTGCTGAGCAGAATCAGAAACTTTAAAAATATTCTGATTTTAGATAACATGGAGTACATAAAGTTGAGTAACTAGTTTAAAATGAGCTTTACTTTTCAATTGATGCTCTTAACATCTTTTAGACTCAACCCTGACTGTGGAGAGAGGGAAGGATGGAGGGAATAGTACAGAATGTGTGTCGATACACGGTTATAGATTCACATCTATGCATAGATGTCTATATATCTAAATGTGTGTAGACAGATCCATTTCATTCCCATATATCTGTGTGAAACCACTTCTCAATTAAAATTACTCTTGCTGCTGTCAGATGCATCTCCCTTAATGATGCCTGCATTTGAGAATGTATAGACACTGCCAAGTGCTCAAAAGGGAGCTCATCACCACACTGGGTTCTAGTTTAAAATGAGTCATTGCCACATATTTCTCTCCAAGTCTTAAGAACAGCTTCTTTTTGGTTTGTTCTAACTCAGCCCCAACCCAGTTTTTAAGTTTTAAGTGATAATATTAAACTCTTAGCCCACGCCTCTGCTCCCATGAAGACTCACGTGCTGAAGACGGCAGTTCTCACAGCCCAGCAGATAGGGGAATATAGAGCTGCCCTGACCGAATCCAGGCAGAAGTGGCTGGGTAGAGATCAGCCAGGGGCTTGCAAATCTCCATGTCTGATAGAAAGAGCTGCAGACACCACATATTGTCCTCCATAGAGAGAATGCTTCATTATTCATCTGGATCTAGAAAGGTGGGAAATGGAGATGTTGGCATTCAGCATCCCCACATATAGAAAAAGACCATGACCTTGCCTGTGACCTTCACCTTGTCACCTGTCTTCCCAGGCAAAAAGCAACCATCTTACTGCGCTTTTTGTGATTAGAAGCACCTCTTCCAGCACAAGATTGCTTAGGCTGCCTGTTGCCTTCACTGGAAGTGTCAGACCTAACTATTTCCCAAAGCAAAAGACTCATGGCCCTTCCCTGGCCCCCCTGCTGAGCTGCTAGGCCCAGTTCTCAGTGGCTGCTGTGTCCTAACGTCTTTGGAACCATTGTCTTCCTGGCCTGTTTGCTCCACCCAGAGAGAGGGTCTGAGTGGTGACCTCCCCAGGATGTGACTGCAGGGTGTGGACTCTCAGAGTTGAGCTCTGGGATTCATCCCCAACCTCTACCAAATCCTGCCTGCTCCTGGAGCAATGGAGAGGCAGGGCGAGTGAGCTGTACCAGAATGTGCCCTTGGCACATATCTCAGAAAACTCCCCACTAGAGAACACATTTTAGAGAGAAGAAGAAAGATCATAGACTTGCAGATGGGAGTTTAAATCTGACTATGGTAAAAAATGTCCGAAAAATTTATGATCTCTGTTTGTTCACAGCACTCACCCCAATTACACCCATCACCCCAGAGCAGGAGACTTTTGCCTTCTTAACCTGTCAGAGCCAGTGCCCAGTTCTCCTGGGGCATTTTAGATGCTGATTTCAAGCTCGCCAGGTCGTGTGAGTGGGCAGCGAGGTCTCACATCCACACAAAGGATCTCAGTGTCTGCTCCACCTGTCATGCAGCTCAGCAGGGGCCCGTCCAACCGTGGAAATGTGTTGCCAACAAGACCCCATCTGTCCCTGACAAGCAGAGGTGGCAGAGCACTCTTCGGCAGTGAGCTTTGTACCCAAACTGTTTATTTTTTTTTCACAGCCTTCAGATAAGACATTTTGAGTTCATTTCAATAGCTAGTAATTCCCAGGTTCTGCCAGCTGCCTGTGTGCTGTAAGGAGAGGAGAGGGAGCTTTTCTGAAATTAAGACGAATTTCGTCCAGCCTCCATCACTGCTCGCAGCTATGCGGCTGTCCAGTCCATCCACAGCCAGGTCCCATGTCTTGCCTTTGCAGGGTGCCCCCGTCTTCCTCCGAGCACTGCCCCCACATGCTGTGCCTTAGAGAGGCGGCCTTCTAATTCTGGCATTTCCCAGGAGAAGCCCATCTCTCTGGCTTTGCCATTTCCCCCTTCCTGGAAACACGTTTCATCTCTCGGACTGAGGCATGGCAGACCCTCCCAGGGTCACCTCATTCACTCAGATGCCTTCTAGAAAGCCCCGTGGTGATTGGTTATCTCCACACCAATTGGGGGTGTGGAGATAACCGGGGGTGTGGCCTGTGTCTTGGAACACGCTGAGCATATCAGGTAATGACAAGGGAGAGTGGAACCATGGGGAATGTACGTGAAACCATGACTTATGAGGTAGTGTAGCTATTACATACACACAGACATGTATGACCACGCACATGCAACCACACACATACACACACACATACACACACCACAGAAACACACACACCACACAAACACACACACACAAGCACATCACAGAAACACACACACACCACACAAGCACACACCACAGAAACACACACATACAAACACACACACACCACAGAAACACACACCACACAAACGCACATACACCTCAGAAACACACGCAGATCCCATTGACTTCCTGGGAAATGTTGCTTTTTTTTTTTTTTTTTTTGCTTCAGAGAGAGTCTCACCCTGTCACCCAGCTGGAATGCAGTGGTGTGATCTCAGCTCACTGCAACCTCCACCTCCCGAGTTCAAGCAATTCACCTGCTTCAGCCTCCTGAGTAGCTGGGATTACAGGCATAAGCCACCATACCTGGCTAATTTTTTTTGTATTTTAGTAGAGATGGGGTTTCACCATGCTGGCCAGGCTGATCTCAAACTCCTATCCTGAAGTGATCCTCCTGCCTTGGCCTCCCAAAGTGCTGGAATTGCAGGAATGAGCCACCACACCTGGCTGGGAAAATACTGCTTTTGTGATACGAATTTGGCATTGCTCTACCTGGTGTCTCTATAAGAGATGTTTTCCTACAGTCGGGAATCAACCTAGTGCTCAGTTTTAGCTAAGTAGGTTAAAAAAAAAAGTACACCTTCCCCATGCATATTTTTAATGTCTTCATTGTAAATGATTGCACATATTTCTGGGGAACATGTGAGATTTTGATAATTAATCCATGTGTGTTTGAATTGTTTCACTCATGTGCCTTCTAGGGCACGCCTTTTCTAACCATCCACAATCTGGAAGCTCTTCTATTATTTGGTTAATGTAAAGAAAAACAATAGTAACACTACATTGAAGTTTTAAAAGTAGAAAAATGGGTGAGTGCCTTTTTTCTTTTGGACTCTGCTTCGAGGGGCTGTGTAAGCAAATGAGGGGGCGTCTCCCCAGATCATAGGAATTTAATCAGCGTGAGCCATCAGCCTGGTGCACAGCCTCCTGCCCTGCAGCCTGAGGTGGAGGTTGCGGTGACCGAGCCTGGTAACTTATAGTGAGCTTTCCTCATGACCACGCTAAAGTGTCCATCCCAGGGGGAGCCACAGTTTCATCACCCTAACACGTGACCCATGTGCTGGCATGGACTTACTGCGTCTGTACCACTGCGACCCCTCCTCTCCATGCTATGGTGCACCCTCCCCCTTCTCCATCACCCCATAAAACCCTCCCTTCCCTTTCCCTCAGGGACACACTGCTTTGGAGAATACACCCCTGTCCTCACATGTGCTGAATAATAAAACTCCTGTTGTTCAGTACCGGCCTTTTCTGCCTTCTCACGGAGGGTAGTTTGTCACTCATCAGGTAGACAGATCCTGGTTATTTTCAGGTAACATTTGGCCCACACTCAGGTCCCCCAGGGAAGAGGAGCAGAGGACCTTTCTGTTCAGGGCTCACTGGGCCCTCTCCTTACCTCTAGGACTAGGCAATGACCTCATGGGTGCTAGAAGAAAGTGCTTCTACAAGCCTGCTCCAGCCAGATAAAAGAGAGCAAGCCCTTCACTTGCTCAATTCCTTTGCAAGCAGTGTGTTCTCTGCAATAGGCTCCTGAGAGGGGAAAAAAAAAGCCCTGTTGGCTCAGGTCAGCCAAGCCAAGCTCAGTCACAGAATAGGAAGGTGCGGTGGGGGCGGGAGGTAGGGAGAGCATGGGGAATGTGGTACCACTGGGGCAGAGAGCAAAGCAATGGGGAATCAATCTCCCACGTGTGTCTTCTGTCAGTTTATTTATTCACTCAACAGATAGTTATTGAGGACCAACCACGCGCAGGACTGATCCGAGCCCTGGGGTAGAGGTGTAAGACAGATGAGGTGCCTGGTCTTAAGGGGTTTGTATTCAAGTGGGAGCCGGGAAACAAGAGGCATACAATAAAAAAGCAAGTTAACTAAGGCATCTTCAGATAACCACTAGTCCTAGGAAGATAATTAAAAAGGCAGTAGGAGGGAGGGTAATGATGTTTTAGAACCAAACTGGGGACTACTAGCCTGGTGCAGTAAAACCAGTTACTCACACTGAGGTTTTTCAGCAATAGAGAGGCTTTTATTGTAAGTGCCAAGCAAAGATGACCAGGCAGCTATTGCTCAGATCGTGACCTCCCCGATGGCTTGCAGCCACAGATTTTTAAAGGCAGGGGTAAATTATAGGAAAACAGAAGCCACAGGCAAAATCATCAATTAATATATGGAGGTTACACATTGGTTTAGACCTAAAAGGGTGTAGTATCTTGAAGTGAGGACTTACAGGTTATAGGTAGATCCAAAAACTTTGCAATTTGCAATTGGTGATGAAAGAGCAGCTTTTTTCAAAAATTTGGGATCAGTAGAAAAATGTCCTTGTTTTTTTTGAGACAGTGTCTCACTCTGTCACCCAGGCTGGAGTGTAGTGGCATGATCATAGCTCACTGCAGCCTCCTGCCTCAGCCTCTTGAGCAGCTGGGACTACAGGTGTGCACCCCAGTGCCTAAGTTTTTAATTTTTCAAAAAAAAAAAACCATAGTGAGATGGAATGTCACTATGTTGCTCAGCTGGTCTCAAGCTCCTGGCCTCAAGTAATCCTCCCACCTTGGCCTCCCAAGGTGCTGGCATGACAAGCATAGCTACCTTACCAACCAGTAGAAGAATGTCAACTGGCTAGGGTGAGTGACTTTCTCCAAGCCCCCCAGGAAGAAACTGATAACAAAAGATGATGATTAAAGTTCATCTTCACTTCCCACTTACCTGAGGTCTGCATGTTGGCTGATCCCTTCATTGGGGGCCCCCAGTGGAGTTCCGAGTTTCTGAAAGACAATTCAGGAGCACAGGCCAAGATGTTCTTCTTGGGTTCTTTAGGGAAAGCAAACATCTCTAGGACTCTAATTTCCTCAGGTGTCCTTTAGGCTACCATTGTCTTCTTTATTAACAAGTAACTTACTGACTTCTGGAGCTAGCTAGGTGCCTGAAATTTCCCCTTGAAGGAACTCATGATTCTCCTTGATTTGCATGCTTGGGATTTGCTAACAAAGGGGCCTCCTGCTCCATCTCAATGGGGAAAGAGAAGCTAGGTCGGTCCTCAGGGAAAACCTTGGCATTGAGACGTGAATGAAGAGAAGAGACCTAGGTAGGTAAAGCAAGAACATTCCAGGAAGAAACAGGAGCAAGGATAAAATTCCCGAGTCAAGTGAATACATGTTTCTCAAAAGAAGACATGCAGAAAGCCAACAGACGTGAAAAAAATGCTCAACATCACTAATCGTCAGAGAAATGCAATTAGAACCATAATGAGGCACCACTTTATCCCAGTTAGAATGGCCATTTTTAAAATTCAAAAGCAATAGATGTTGGTACAGATGTAGTGAAAATGGAACACTTAAACACAGCTGGTGGGATTGTAAATTAGCAAAACCTCTGTGGAAAATGGTATGGATTTTTGTCAAAGAACTAAACGTAGATCTATTATTCTATCCAGAAATTCTGCCCCTGGGATCTACCTCCCAAAAAAGTCACTACATCAAAAAACACCTGCATGCATATCTTTATTACAGCACAATTCACAATTGCAACTACATGGAATCAACCTAAGTACCCATCAACCGATGAGTGGATAAAGTGTGGTGTGTGTATACAAACACACACACACTATGAAATACTACTCATCCATACAAAGGAATAAAATAATGTCTTTTGCAACAACTTCGATGGAGGTGGAGGCCATTATTCTTAGTGAAATATGTCAGGAATGGACAACCAAATATTGAACATTCTCACTTATAAGTGGGAGCTAAGCTGTGGCTATGGAAAGACATACAGAGTAATATAATGAACTGTGGAGACTCAAAAGCAGGAGGGTGGGAGGAAGGTGAGTGACAATAAACTACTCATTGAGTACAATGTACACTGCTCAGGTGACAGGCGCACTAAAATCTCCGACTTCAACACTATGCAATTCATCTATGTAACCAAAACCACTTGTACCCCTACAGCTATTGAAATCTTACAAAATGCAAATAAAAAATATTTTAAAGATCTTTAAGTCAAGAATATTTATGAGGATAAATATGTTGCCCAAAACCATTGCACCCAAATGCCACCTTGCTCAGGAGGTCTGCGGGTGCCATTGCACACCCTTTCCTCAGAGCCCCTGAGCCATGAGGTGCTGGGCGTGCCTGCCTTCTTCTCCTCCATTAGGGAGCTGCGGTTGATGCAAGAACAGCCTTGAGAAACAGACCTCTCAGACACCAAACTAGGAAGGAAGAGGTGTTTTATTATTACGGCTGGGAGCAAGGCAACAATTTGTCTAACAGCCAAGCTCATTTAACAAAGAGAAGCTCTGCATTTATATAGGCTTACACTCTAGATATTACACGTGAAAGGATCTTAGGTTTACAGCCTTAGAAGTAACACGTGAAAGGGTCTCGGGTTTACAGTCTTGGAAATTACATGTGAAAGGGTCTTGGTAGATGGAGGAGTGGGGTGGGGGTTTGATCTTGTTTAAGTAAAACAATGCCTTCCGGAGAGAGTCCCCCCATACTATGCCTGCCATCTACAGGAAGGGGATTTAGGAGGTGCCAGTCGGCCAGCCTTTTTTTCTATTGAAATGCAGTGTGGAAGTCAAGGGGGAGGTGATCCTAGATGCCTAGGTCTCCTTCCTCATGGTGACTACATCTTATTCAGCTCTGCCTCTTCCAGGCCACTAAGTGTAATTGATGCCAGCTGTTCAACAGAGAGTGACTGCGTGAATGGGCTCACGACAATATCGGACTGGAGTGACATGTCTGAACTGAACTGAGAATTATGACAATTTTAACATTGCAGCATTCTCCCACTAGGAGTTTAATTTGAGGTTATATTTTTTCTTAATGATTGACTGTCAGGTAAAAATCAATTATTTTTGGAGAGTTCTCTGCACCTTTAGGGGATGATAATAGAGACAGCTGTGTCTTGTAGCTCACAGCAGTGTTACCTCAGTCTCATTGTTCTAAACTGATGGATTGTCTGGTGCTGGATAGAGGTGGCTTCTATGAGGCTAGACAGATTCCTTGCAACTCCAAAAGGAAAGGAGCAGGCATGCATCAGCAAAGAGAGCAGAGTACAGAACCTCTGAAAATTTACTCCTCCACACACACACACACACACAAAATTAAAAAGCTGGCAAAAAATGGCCAGAAACAATTTTTTCTGGAATCTGAAAATTCACCAAAGGCTTGCAACCCCCCAGGGAGCGTTTATGTAGGACAAGCAGCTGAATCCCAGTAGGAACCAAGTGCTCTGTAGTATTTCAACTTGCCCTCTTCTCCTGCTCTCA